TGACCAGTCACCCTGAGGGATGCTTGTACTGACCAGTCACCCTGAGGGATGCTTGTACTGACCAGTCACCCTGAGGGATGCTTGTACTGACCAGTCACCCTGAGGGATGCTTGTAGTGACCAGTCACCCTGAGGGATGCTTGTACTGACCAGTCACCCTGAGGGATGCTTGTACTGACCAGTCACCCTGAGGGATGCTTGTACTGACCAGTCACCCTGAGGGATGCTTGTAGTGACCAGTCACCCTGAGGGATGCTTGTACTGACCAGTCACCCTGAGGGATGCTTGTACTGACCAGTCACCCTGAGGGATGTTTGTACTGACCAGTCACCCTGAGGGATGCTTGTACTGACCAGTCACCCTGAGGGATGCTTGTACTGACCAGTCACCCTGAGGGATGCTTGTACTGACCAGTCACCCTGAGGGATGCTTGTACTGACCAGTCACCCTGAGGGATGTTTGTACTGACCAGTCACCCTGAGGGATGCTTGTACTGACCAGTCACCCTGAGGGATGCTTTGTACCTGACCAGTCACCCTGAGGGATGTTTGTACTGACCAGTCACACCCTGAGGGATGCTTGTACTGACCAGTCACCCTGAGGGATGCTTGTACTGACCAGTCACCCTGAGGGATGCTTGTACTGACCAGTCACCCCTGAGGGATGCTTGTACTGACCAGTCACCCTGAGGGATGCTTGTACTGACCAGTCACCCTGAGGGATGCTTGTACTGACCAGTCACCCTGAGGGATGCTTGTAGTGACCAGTCACCCTGAGGGATGCTTGTACCTGACCAGTCACCCTGAGGGATGCTTGTACTGACCAGTCACCCTGAGGGATGTTTGTACTGACCAGTCACCCTTGAGGGATGTTTGTACTGACCAGTCACCCCGAGGGATGCTTGTACTGACCAGTCACCCCTGAGGGATGATTGTACTGACCAGTCACCCCTGAGGGATGTTTGTACTGACCAGTCACCCTGAGGGATGCTTGTAGTGACCAGTCACCCTGAGGGATGCTTGTACTGACCAGTCACCCTGAGGGATGTTTGTACTGACCAGTCACCCTGAGGGATGCTTGTACTGACCAGTCACCCTGAGGGATGCTTGTACTGACCAGTCACCCCGAGGGATGTTTGTACTGACCAGTCACCCCGAGGGATGTTTGTAGTGACCAGTCACCCTGAGGGATGCTTGTACTGACCAGTCACCCTGAGGGATGCTTGTAGTGACCAGTCACCCTGAGGGATGCTTGTAGTGACCAGTCACCCTGAAGGGATGCTTGTACTGACCAGTCACCCTGAGGGATGCTTGTACTGACCAGTCACCCCTGAGAGGGATGCTTGTACTGACCAGTCACCCCGAGGGATGCTTGTAGTGACCAGTCACCTTGAGGGATGCTTGTAGTGACCAGTCACCCCTGAGGGATGCTTGTACTGACCAGTCACCCTGAGGGATGCTTGAGGGATGCTTGTACTGACCAGTCACCCTGAGGGATGTTTGTACTGACCAGTCACCCCGAGGGATGTTTGTACTGACCAGTCACCCTGAGGGATGCTTGTACTGACCAGTCACCCTGAGGGATGCTTGTACTGACCAGTCACCCCTGAGGGATGTTTGTTGACCAGTCACCCCTGAGGGATGCCAGACCAGTCACCCTGAGGGATGCTTGTACTGACCAGTCACCTTGAGGGATGTTTGTACTGACCAGTCGCCTTGAGGGATGTTTGTACTGACCAGTCACCCTGAGGGATGTTTGTACTGACCAGTCACCCTGAGGGATGCTTGTACTGACCAGTCACCCTGAGGGATGTTTGTACTGACCAGTCACCCTGAGGGATGCTTGTACTGACCAGTCACCCTGAGGGATGCTTGTACTGACCAGTCACCCCGAGGAATGTTGGTACTGACCAGTCACCCCGAGGGATGCTTGTACTGACCAGTCACCCTGAGGGATGCTTGTACTGACCAGTCACCCCTGAGGGATGTTTGTACTGACCAGTCACCCTGAGGGATGTTTGTACTGACCAGTCACCCTGAGGGATGCTTGTACTGACCAGTCACCCCGAGGGATGTTTGTACTGACCAGTCACACCTGAGGGATGTTTGTACTGACCAGTCACCCTGAGGGATGCTTGTACTGACCAGTCACCCCTGAGGGATGTTTGTACCTGACCAGTCACCCTGAGGGATGCTTGTACTGACCAGTCACCCTGAGGGATGCTTGTAGTGACCAGTCACCCTGAGGGATGCTTGTAGTGACCAGTCACCCTGAGGGATGCTTGTAGTACCTGACCAGTCACCCTGAGGGATGCTTGTAGTTGAAGGATGCTTGTACTGACCAGTCACCCTGAGGGATGCTTGTAGTGACCAGTCACCCTGAGGGATGCTTGTAGTGACCAGTCACCCTGAAGGATGCTTGTAGTGACCAGTCACCCTGAGGGATGCTTGTAGTGACCAGTCACCCTGAGGGATGCTTGTAGTGACCAGTCACCCCGAGGGATGTTTGTAGTGACCAGTCACCCCGAGGGATGTTTGTACTGACCAGTCACCCTGAGGGATGTTTGTACTGACCAGTCACCCCGAGGGATGCTTGTACTGACCAGTCACCCTGAGGGATGCTTGTACTGACCAGTCACCCGAGGGATGCTTGTACTGACCAGTCACCCCGAGGGATGTTTGTACTGACCAGTCACCCCGAGGGATGCTTGTACTGACCAGTCACCCTGAGGGATGCTTGTACTGACCAGTCACCCCGAGGGATGTTTGTACTGACCAGTCACCCCGAGGGATGTTTGTACTGACCAGTCACCCCGAGGGATGTTTGTACTGACCAGTCACCCCGAGGGATGTTTGTACTGACCAGTCACCCTGAGGGATGTTTGTACACCCCGAGGGATGTTGACCAGTCACCCTGAGGGATGCTTGTACTGACCAGTCACCCTGAGGGATGTTTGTACTGACCAGTCACCCCGAGGGATGCTTGTACTGACCAGTCACCCCGAGGGATGTTTGTACTGACCAGTCACCCCGAGGGATGTTTGTACTGACCAGTCACCCCGAGGGATGTTTGTACTGACCAGTCACCCCTGAGGATGTTTTTGTAGTGACCAGTCACCCTGAGGGATGTTTGTACTGACCAGTCACCCGAGGGATGTTTGTACTGACCAGTCACCCCGAGGGATGCTTGTACTGACCAGTCACCCCGAGGGATGTTTGTACTGACCAGTCACCCCGAGGGGATGCTTGTACTGACCAGTCACCCTGAGGGATGCTTGTACTGACCAGTCACCCCGAGGGATGTTTGTACTGACCAGTCACCCTGAGGGATGTTTGTACTGACCAGTCACCCGAGGGATGTTTGTACTGACCAGTCACCCTGAGGGATGCTTGTACTGACCAGTCACCCTGAGGGATGTTTGTACTGACCAGTCACCCCGAGGGATGTTTGTACTGACCAGTCACCCTGAGGGATGCTTGTACTGACCAGTCACCCTGAGGGATGTTTGTACTGACCAGTCACCCCGAGGGATGTTTGTACTGACCAGTCACCCCGAGGGATGTTTGTACTGACCAGTCACCCCGAGGGATGCTTGTACTGACCAGTCACCCCGAGGGATGTTTGTACTGACCAGTCACCCCGAGGGATGTTTGTAGTGACCAGTCACCCGAGGGATGTTTGTACTGACCAGTCACCCCGAGGGATGCTTGTACTGACCAGTCACCCCGAGGGATGTTTGTACTGACCAGTCACCCCGAGGGATGTTTGTATGGACCAGTCACCCCGAGGGATGTTTGTACTGACCAGTCACCCCGAGGGATGTTTGTACTGACCAGTCACCCCGAGGGATGTTTGTACTGACCAGTCACCCCGAGGGATGCTTGTACTGACCAGTCACCCCGAGGGATGTTTGTACTGACCAGTCACCCCGAGGGATGTTTGTACTGACCAGTCACCCCGAGGGATGTTTGTACTGACCAGTCACCCTGGGGATGTTTGTACTGACCAGTCACCCCGAGGGATGTTTGTACTGACCAGTCACCCCGAGGGATGCTTGTACTGACCAGTCACCCTGAGGGATGCTTGTACTGACCAGTCACCCTGAGGGATGTTTGTACTGACCAGTCACCCCGAGGGATGCTTGTACTGACCAGTCACCCCGAGGGATGTTTGTACTGACCAGTCACCCTGAGGGATGTTTGTACTGACCAGTCACCCCGAGGGATGCTTGTACTGACCAGTCACCCTGAGGGATGCTTGTAGTGACCAGTCACCCCGAGGGATGCTTGTACTGACCAGTCACCCCGAGGGATGTTTGTACTGACCAGCCATCCCGAGGGATGTTTGTACTGAGCAGTCGCTCTGAGGGATTCTTGTGTTGACCAGTCAGCCCGAATGAAGTGCTGTAATCTTCAATGTGACGGTTCAACCTCATTTCATCATATCGAGATAAAACCCTATAAAGCCACTGACTCAACACACCTCCAGGACCGTACAGGGCGGGTTATTGTACACCATTACTTGTACAAATACTTGTTCTACATCGTAGGACAGGGTTCGTCACGAAACACATCGGGGAACACGTATTTTTTGTCGCATACTTGCTGGATGCTAAAACAGTAAAGCTATCCCGTCAGGGTTTACAACCATCTACTGACATTATCTTTGATCTTATGTGGTCATGTGTGGACGGGGCACTGCGGTGTGGGATCATCAGGGCGTGGGATGTGTTCTTTACGAATATAGGACAGTTTTCTTCTGGGATAGGGGGGTGTCAGCGTTGCGAGACACGGTACGGTGATACCCAGTTTGGCCTAGCTTTTTATGCAAATGAAACATTATGTTGTTTTGTGAAAATGATCACGAGTGTTGCGTGAATCTTAGATGGGACGGCATCAAGCTAGGGGTACCAAGTCACGGTCTTCAGCAGAGACGTAATAAGCCTGAGCAATGTTTTTTAAACTTGAGGTAGCGAGGTCAGGGGCTGAATTCTGGGTTGTTCAGTCAGGTATATTAGACTTGACACTGTACGGGTTGGTAGACACCCGCCGCATCTACCAGCTGATGCTCAGACGAGCGCCACAGTGAACAGTAGTCAACATGGCCGTGCCGGCAGTGTCAGTCTTGGTGATAGTCCAGCTGGTTGCTGTGTCCTGTAGTCAGTACGGTTCCCCGCCTCAGACCATGGGGGATGGGGTAGCAGTTAACTTCACTGATGATGCTGACTTGATGATATTCCCTGATCCGGTACCGTTTTACATGTTCATGTACCATAGTAAAGTGGTAAACTTCAGTTACTCCATCGTGTGCGACTCTTATGACAGTTACTACGACCTGCATGTGTTCACGGAGATACCGAAGGTGGCGGTCCTGTCGCAGACGGGAACCTTCAACCTGACGTGTGAGGACATGAAGGAAGGTTCCCCCCACCCACACAGGAATGCCACCGTCGTTTCAGGTACATTTAACATTTCCTTACAATCAGATCTTATAGGCCGGACTTGGCTCTACATCGACAGCACGTCCGTCAACGTCACTTCCGTAAGTAACAGTACCGACGGAGATGATGCCATTGGGCACTTCCGGTTTAAACAGATGATCACTGTGATCCGGCCGTTACGCTTCCTGGACACTGTGGTGCGGATAGTTGTCTACGCCTTCATCGTCACAAACACCATCGGCATGGGATGCAGCACCGATTTGGCTGTCGTCAAGGAGGTTCTCAGGAGACCCTTCGCTCCCACGATCGGCTTCGTGTGCCAGTACCTGTGTATGCCACTGGTGAGACACTTTTACTGTTCGTCTGAAGTTGCGCCCGTCTGCCCCCTCGAGTGTTGAAATGCTTATAGTATCCCATGATCCATTATCAATACCATATAGTCAGGTACTGGGGCTAGCCCTGCCGTGTGACCTGGTGGCGCTACAGTCTGTGGTCTCTACGCGAACATCGCTGTCCGGCGGTACGTCGAGAGGTCAGCTTGATTAGGTGTGTCAGGATCATGTCCGTACATCTTTTGTTTTGAATTACCCAAGAACTGTATTCGTGAAGTTTAAATCCAATCCAAAGTAACGGAGGTAGTAAACGTTAGTAGCGGACCCTGACGCTGGTAAGGGAGACAATTTAGACAACTGGGGTTTGTGCTCAGTGAAACTGTCCAATGTTATTGTTAATCAGTAGTACGTCTAGCAGTCTGTATCTATTGCAAGTCACCACACCAACCGAGTTGTCCTCCTTACAGATTGCGTTTGCTGTGACGAAGATTGTGAAGTTCGAGAACCCTGCCGTTGGGTTGGGAATATTCGCCTGTGGAATTTGCCCCGGGGGTGGATCCAGCAACATCTACACCTACCTCCTGGGTGGTGATGTGTCACTCTCAGTAACCATGACAACAATCAGCGCAGTCGGAGCACTTGGTAAGTTTTTGAAAGCCTATCCCGTGGACAGTACACAAAGGTGTGAACAGACAATGATGTCAATGCTGTTTCAAAATTCCAGGTGAGAACAAATAATGATTTGTTTCAAGTTTCCAGGTGTAAGGAAGGTACTTAAAATATTGGCGCCCAATAAACTTAGTAAATGTAGATTACAAAATCGCGTCTGCCGCAATTGCTCGTAGAATTAAAACAGTGTGACCGATTATAATAAGTGAAACCCAAACTGGTTCCATGAAAGGCAGATATATCGGAGAAAACACAAGAATATTGTATGATTTGATAAACCACTGTGAAGTACATAAACTCCCCGGACTTATAGTAACGGTTAATTTTGAAAAGGCATTAATTTGTCTCTTTAGAATGGGAATTTATAATAAACTCTGGACATATTTTCACTCTGGGTCGGGGAGACCCTCTGTCGACTTACCTATTCATAATGTGTGCAGAATTGCTTGCTATTTCTATTAACAAATACGTAACAAAACTGTCACCGGGATTAATGTCAAAGGAGTAGAATATTCTATTTTCCAATATGCAGATGATACACATTTCTCTCTCGACGAATCAGAACAAAGTCCTCCAGAAGTCATGAAGACTCTTAAAGAATTCGCTATTTATTCTGGGTTAAAGGTCAATTATGACAAAAGTTCAGCAGTTTGGATTGTATCCAAAATCGATTCATCTGATAAACTGTCGCCTCATATGCCCCTTTATTGGTCCAAAGAACCCTTTAAGATTCTAGGAATTACATTTTCAACAAATCTTAAATTTTGATAAGCAATTTACAAAAGCAAGAAAAATGTTATTCACATGGTCAAATTGAAGGTTAACTCTGCAAGGAAAAATTGTTATAATAACATCTCAGATTTTACCCTTATTTACCCACCTTTTCACGTCTTTACCTGATCCATCGCCTGAATTTTTTAAACGAGTGAACGACTTGTTGTATCGTTTTATATGGTATGGTAACAGATATAGAAAAACAGAGCTATGTTGATTAATGACTACGAGAAAGGTGGATTAACAATGGTAGATGTCTTATCATTTTGTAAATACATGAAAAAATATGCCTCAAAAGACAACTTTCCTCAAAGGGTTTATGGGAACACCTTTCCCGCTGTGAACCCTTTGAATATTTTCACATATGTTATCTACAAAAACAACCGCTGTATAGAATTAGTAAACTCATGAAGAATAATTTCTGGAAAGATGTTATGAGACTTTGAGTACATTTACAAATAAGGAAATCCTCCACGAAGAAACATTTTTACAACTTCCACTAATTAATTTCATTCCACACAAAGACATTAAAGAGTTTTCAAATTGGATAAAACGTGGTTTAAAATCAATGAGATGTTTATTTACAAATACAGGTGAATTAAAAGATTTAAAACTCTTAAAAACGAACTTGACTTAAGTGGTACATTCTTTCTGTACCACAGACTATTAAATATATTCTTAGAATCTGGATTGACAAGATGCGAACCTATCTTAGTAACCCTAACCCTAAACCTATCTTAGTAATGAGCACGAAGAATGTTCGGATTCTCAAAATTTAATCAGTAACTTGATATCCAATAAAATGCTAAGTTCATTTACTGTCAAATATGTGAAGATGTACAAAACAATCTCTCTGAACTTAGTAATGGGAAATAAAACTGAATATGCCTATAACTGAAGATTATCTTTCCTGCTGCTTTAAAATTAATCAATTATGTACTACAGAAAACAAACTACGAAATTCCCAATGTAAACTTTTACATAGAATTCTAACAACCAACTCTTTCCTATTTAGAACTGGTCACACAGATTTTTGCAGTTGTTTCAAGACTGAACGTGAAACAATAGAACATAGGCCTTTTTTTCTTTTTGTGTGATAGAGTGAGTGCACTAGCTTCACTAACAGGTATAATTCTATTACAAATGAAAATATCAATATCTCAAACAGGGCGATTATTCTTGGAGACCCCTGATAAGAGTATTCTGATCAATCATCTCTTTCTGATAATAAAAGAATATATCTGTATTAGTAAGTGTAGAGAAGGTTCTTTACAAATAAATCTTCTTATTGAAAGAATACGAGACTATTGCCGAATAGAAAGTTCCCAGGTGTGAACAGACAAAGATGTCAGTGATATATTTTAAGTTTTCAGGTATGAACAGACAATGATGTCAGTATTTTGATCCAAGTTTCCAGGTATGAACAGACAATGATGTCAGAGCTATGTTTCAGGGATGGTGCCTCTGTGGATGTTCACCCTGGGCAAGCAGTTCCACGACGACAAGATGCAGATCAACATCCCCTACCTGAACATCCTGCAGACTCTGGCCTCTGTCATCCTCCCTCTGCTGGTCGGGATCTCCATCAAGTACAAATTCCACAAGGTTGCCGCCATGATCCTGAAGGTCATCAAACCAGTGACCCTCGTCACGGTGGCCCTGCTGCTGGGGGTCGGTATTTACGCCAATATCTACATCTTCAGACTGTTCAAACCTGTCACACTCCTAGCCGGCTGTATGTTTCCCTATGTAGGCTACGTCATTGGCGGCATCGTCGCCTTAATCTTCCGCTAACCGTGGTACAGAGTCAAAACAATAGCCATAGAGACTGGCGTACAGAATGTAATGGTCGCCTACCTCATGGTACTGATGGCCCTTCCGCCACCAGATGGCGATCTTGCCGCTGTTGGACCAGCAGCTTCCGGTTGTATGACGCCACTTCCGCTTTTCGTGCTCTCGATTGGCTACACCATTTATCTCAAATGTACCAACCAGACTTACGCCAAGGTGCAAGGAGGCGACACGGAGGTCGACGCTTACGGGAACACTGGGACAGACGGAAAGAAACTGACCGAGAAAGGCGAGGAGAATGGGGTGAAGGCCGACAGACTGACGACAGGGAATAGCCAGGTTGTTGACAAACTGAGCACTGTGTGAAGAAGGTAGAGCTGGTTCAGGTGCATTGTTTTGGTAGAGTGTGCAGAACCATGCCACAGGACACAAGACAGCTTCTTGTGTTGGACACAAACTATGCCCATATGTGACATGTATATAATTATGTACCGAAAATGTGTGGAAACATTTGGATAGATATTGGACGACAACCAGAAGTATGTACTATTATCATGTGGATGGCATGAACATTGCATTGAACATATCGTTCATTGACCTTCAAGACATTGACTTGGCAAACCCTACTTTATGTAACCGTCTCTTTTCAGGGTGAAAAATGTACCACACTTTACCCACAGTACCAATTACGCATAAGAACATCAGAAATTGTCTCTGTAAACCTGCTAACATGTAATACAAATCTCTAAGGACAGCAGAGGCGCCTTGGTCTACCATGAAAAATAAAGCGTTCCTTTGTGGAAGTTTAACCATGAGTTGCACGAAAATCCTTGGTGGTAGTTCCACTACGAGTTACATAGGGGTCCTTGGCGGTAGTTCAACTACGAGTTACACAAGGATCCTTGGTGGTAGCTCCACTACGAATTACACAAGGATCCTTGGTGGTAGCTCCACTACGAGTTACACAAGGATCCTTGGTGGTAGCTCCACTACGAGTTACACAAGGATCCTTGGTGGTAGTTCCACTAGGAGTTACACAGGGATCCTTGGTGGTAGTTCCACTACGAGTTACACTAAGATCCTTGGTGGTAGTTCCACTACGAGTTACACAGGGATACTTGGTGGTATTTCCACTACGAGTTACACAGGGATACTTGGTGGTATTTCCACTACGAGTTACACAGGGATCTTTGGTGGTAGTTCCACTATGAGTTACACAAGGATCCTTGGTGGTATTTCCACTACGAGTTACACAGGGATCCTTGGTGGTAGTTCCACTACGAGTTACACAGGGATCCTTGGTGGTAGCTCCACTACGAGTTACACAGGGATCCTTGGTGGTAGTTCCACTACGAGTTACACAAGGATCCTTGGTGGTAGTTCCACTACGAGTTACACAGGGATCCTTGGTGGTAGCTCCACTACGAGTTACACAGGGATCCTTGGTGGTAGTTCCACTACGAGTTACACAGGGATCCTTGGCGGTAGCTCCACTACGAGTTACACAGGGATCCTTGGTGGTAGCTCCACTACGAGTTACACAGGGATCCTTGACGGTAGTTCCACTACGAGTTACACAGGGATCCTTGGTGGTAGTTCCACTACGAGTTACACAGGGATCCTTGGTGGTAGCTCCACTACGAGTTACACAGGGATCCTTGGCGGTAGTTCCACTACGAGTTACACAGGGATCCTTGGCGGTAGCTCCACTACGAGTTACACAGGGATCCTTGGTGGTAGCTCCACTACGAGTTACACAGGGATCCTTGACGGTAGTTCCACTACGAGTTACACAAGGATCCTTGGTGGTAGTTCCACTACGAGTTACACAGGGATCCTTGGTGGTACTTCTCTCTTGGTGTGAGAGTCATGATATTATTTTTGACCAAGAAGCTGGTTTGCGTCTCTTTATTTCACCACCGAAAAACATTTATTTCATTATTGTATGGTACAAATTGACAAATATATTGCAGATTTCCACTCCATTTCAGTGACTTTTCCAAAGGGAAAAACTGACACATGAACCCACTCTGTGAAATTGTGTTGCTGGTAATAACATATCTGTCTGCAAGGATCCGTGCATGTCCATCATCTGTGTTTTAATCAGTTTAAATCCCGTCTGAATATAGAACGCAAATATGCACTTAACACAATAATATCTTTGTTGTATCAGAAATGTCTGTCTATTGGTGTGTCATGTACATCTAAAAGAAACCCCCAGTCTGTCTCCCTTGCTGGATGATCTTGTTTAACAATGATAATACATAATATATGATATCATGAAGTACAATTGTAATATTTGGATATAAGAATTGTAAGAATTGTAGATATTTGGCTCCACATTGCTCTGCAATGACATCAGACCGATGCAAATACACAGACACATATTAGTCGTGCATGTTCTACGTGATGATAACTATATCAAACCTAACATTTGACAAGGGAAATAAAGATAGTAAAATCTTTGGTTTTTCCTTTAGTGTATATTCCGTGTGTTTTATAGAATAAACTAAATCCTGGAGTACTGTCCCACAGCACGAATACTGGTTAACTCAGACCCATTCATGTGATACGAGGGAATCTCCACAAGGGACATGCATGAGATATGAGGGAGTCTCCACAAGGGACATGCATGAGGTACTTGGGAGTCTCCACTGGGGACATGCATGAGATACTTGGGAGTCTACACTTGGGACAAGCATGAGATACTTGGGAGTCTCCACTGGGGACATGCATGAGATACTTGGAAGTCTCCACTTGGGACATGCATGAGATACTTGGGAGTCTCTACTGGGGACATGCATGAGATACTTGGGAGTCTCCACTGGGGACATGCATGAGATACTTGGGAGTCTCCACTTGGGACATGCATGAGATACGAGGACATCGTAAATGGGGAAAGTGCAAGGGTACTGGGGAATCTCCAAATGGGGACATATATAGGATGTAGCTATAGGGTACTTGGACCTCGTCTGTTGGGGGATCTTCACTGCGAGACCTCTAGCTATTGGGTACTTGGACCTCGTCTGTTGGGGGATCTCAACTTTGAGACCTCTAACTACTGGGTACTTGGACCTCGTCTGTTGGGGGATCTGAACTTTGAGACCTCTAGCTACTGGGTACTTGGACCTCGTCTGTTGGGGGATCTTCACTGCGAGACCTCTAACTACTGGGTACTTGGACCTCTTCTGTTGGGGGATCTCCACTTTGAGACCTCTAACTACTGGGTACTTGGACCTCGTCTGTTGGGGGATCTCAACTTTGGGAGACCTCGTCTAACTCAACTGGACCTTTAACTACTGGGTACTTGGACCTCGTCTGTTGGGGGATCTTCACTGCGAGACCTCTAGCTATTGGGTTGTTGGACCACGTCTGTTGGGGGATCTCCACTGCGGAACCTCTAGCCATTGGGTACTTGGACCTCGTTTTTTAGGGGATCTCCACTGCGGAACCTCTAGCTATTGGGTACTTGTACCTCGTCTGTCGGGTCATCTCTACTGCGAGACCGCTAGCTATTGGGTACTTGGACCTCGTCTGTCGGGGGATCTCCACTGCGAGACCTCTAGCTATTGGGTACTTGGACCTCGTCTGTCGGGGGATCTCCACTGCGGAACCTCTAGCTATTGGGTACTTGGACCTCGTCTGTCGGGGGATCTCCACTGCGGAACCTCTAGCTATTGGGTACTGGGCCCTTGTCTGTCTTGTGTGTGTTGAATCCCCATCACCCCGACTGAAGAGCAGTAATCTTTAACGTGACGGTTCAACCTCATTTCATCATATCCAGATAAAACTCCATAAAGCCACTGACTAAACACACCTCCAGAACCGAACACGGCGGGTTATTGTACACCATTACTTGTACAAATACTTGTTCTACATCGTAGGGCAGCGGTCGTCACGAAACACATCGGGAATGTGTGTTTTTTGTCGCATACTTGCTGAATGCTAAAACAGTAAAGCTATCCCGTCAGGGTTTACAACCATCTACTGACATTATCTTTGATCTTATGTGGTCATGTGTGGACGGGGCACTGCGGTGTGGGATCATCAGGGGGTGGGATGTGTTCTTTTTGCATTAGAACGAGGTCAGGTGGACAGTTCTTTCTAGGGGGTCATCGTTGCGAGACACGGTACGGTGATATCCAGTTTGGCCTAGCTTTTTATGCAATTGAAAAATTTAGTTGTGTGGTGAAACTGATCACGAGTGTTGCGTAAATCTGAGATGGGGCGGCATCAATCTGGGGGTACCAAGTCACAGGACTTCAGCAGAAACGTAATAAGCAACGCTATTTATAGTTGGGGTAGCGAGGTCAGGGACTGAATTGTAGGTTGTTCAGTCAGGTATATTAGACTTGACACTGTACGGGTTGGTAGACACCCGCTGCATCTACCAGCTGATGCTCAGACGAGCGCCACAGTGAACAGTAGTCAACATGGCCGTGCCGGCAGTGTCAGTCTTGGTGATAGTCCAGCTGGTTGCTGTGTCCTGTAGTCAGTACAGTTCCCCGCCTCAGACCATGGGGGATGGGGTAGAAGTTAACTTCACTGATGATGCTGACTTGATGATATTCCCTGATCCGGTACCGTTTTACATGTTCATGTACCATAGTAAAGTGGTAAACTTCAGTTACTCCATCGTGTGCGACTCTTATGACAGTTACTACGACCTGCATGTGTTCACGGAGATACCGAAGGTGGCGGTCCTGTCGCAGCCGGGAACCTTCAACCTGACGTGTGAGGACATGAAGGAAGGTTACCCCCACCCACACAGGAATGCCACCGTCGTCTCAGGTACATTTAACATTTCCTTACAATCAGATCTTATAGGCCGGACTTGGCTCTACATCGACAGCACGTCCGTCAACGTCACTTCCGTAAGTAACAGTACCGACGGAGATGATGCCATTGGGCACTTCCGGTTTAAACAGATGATCACTGTGATAAGGGAGTTACGTTTCCTGGACACTGTGGTGCAGATAGTGGCCTACGTCTTCATCGTAACAAGCACCATCGGCATGGGATGCAGCACCGATTTGGCTGTCGTCAAGGAGGTTCTCAGGAGACCCTTCGCTCCCACGATCGGCTTCGTGTGCCAGTACCTGTGTATGCCACTGGTGAGACACTTTTACTGTTCGTCTGAAGTTGCGCCCGTCTGCCCCCTCGAGTGTTGAACTGCTTATAGTATCCCATGATCCATTATCAATACCATATAGTCAGGTACTGGGGCTAGCCCTGCCGTGTGACCTGGTGGCGCTACAGTCTGTGGTCTCTACGCGAACATCGCTGTCCGGCGGTACGTCGAGAGGTCAGCTTGATTAGGTGTGTCAGGATCATGTCCGTACATCTTTTGTTTTGAATTACCCAAGAACTGTATTCGTGAATTTTAAATCCAATCCAAAGTAACGGGGTATTAAACGTTAGCAGCGGACCCTGACGCTGGTAAGGGAGACAATTTAGACAACTGGGGTTTGTGCTCAGTGAAACTGTCCAATGTTATTGTTAATCAGTAGTACGTCTAGCAGTCTGTATCTATTGCAAGTCACCACACCAACCGTGTTGTCCTCCTTACAGATTGCGTTTGCTGTGACGAAGATTGTGAAGTTCGAGAACCCTGCCGTTGGGTTGGGAATATTCGCCTGTGGAATTTGCCCTGGAGGTGGACCTAGCAACATCTACACTTTCTCCTGGGTGGTGATCTGTCGCTATCAGTAACCATGACAACAATCAGCACAATCGCAGCACTTGGTAAGTTGTGAAAGCCTACCCGTGTACAGTACACATTCGCAATCAATCATCCTTTTTTTACCATAAGTTTACAAATACATGGGGGGTATTGTTAAAAAAATATATCACTTTTAGGCTATGGTTGAAACAAATCCAGCAATTATGTACAGGTAAACTTATCATGTCATGTGACAGACATTATAATGGAAAGAAATGTACATAGATTTCTTAATTGCTTCACATTATGAGTTTCAAATAGGGCTGACATTTTACAATAGTTAGGGTTGTTTACAAAATAATTCTTTACATACATATTTCTGGAAGCAGTAGATTTATTACATTGAAATAAATAATGAAACACATCTCCGAGTTGGGAGGGACATGCCGGACAGAATCGTTTATTTGAGGGAATATTTTCCCAGCGACCTGTTTCAATAGGTAATTTATGATTGGCGGTTTTAATATTGATTAGAATATTACAGTGCTTTGTTCCTAATTTACGTCCCAGCAAAGATATATCATAATAAGATATCATACATTCGTAGATAACAGCTTTAGATGAAGATGTTATGGGGTTGTTAAGCGATTGGTCTGAGATTCTAAGTTGGACAGCATTTTTGAACCGAGAAAAGGAAACTATATCTTGAGAGTGCCATATATTGGACATACCAATATTATCTAATATGGCTTTAATGTAAGTGAGCCATTTATAGTTGCGGTTGTATTACATTGAGTTTGTTAATGATATTTGATACTATTTTGGACCAGAAACACAACATGCGCAGTTTGATTTTATCAACAAGAGGTGATCTCAATGCTTCACTATACAACATATATGTTGGGGTACTGCGTCTTAGGTTTAAAATATATCTAATATAATCAGTATGAATCCTTTCAATTGCTTTAACATTTTCAAATCCCCATATTTCGCTCCCATATAGCAAAATTGGGCAAATAGTACAATCAAATAAATAGAGTTTACATTCTATAGACATGTTAATATTTCTTAATCGCTTGTACAACAGGTGCATTGCTTATTGGCTTGGGTAATGTTAGATTTTCTGGTATTTGCATACAAACGATTGTTACTGAAAACAACGCCAAGGTATTTATATTGGTTTACAAGCTCGATGCTATCTTGTCCGATCATAAAATTATAGTTTCCTGTCTGGTTCTTCTTACCAAAGATTACGATTTTGGTGTTTTGTGTATTTATGGACAGTTTGTTTTCTAAACAATAGTTGTAAAACCGTCAACATTATTTCTAAACAATAGTTGTAAAACCGTCAACATTATTTCTAAACAATAGTTGTAAAACCGTCAACATTATTTCTAAACAATAGTTGTAAAACCGTCAACATTATTTCTAAACAATTGTTGTAAAACCGTCAACATTATTTCTAAACAATAGTTGTAAAACCGTCAACACTATTTCTAAACAATAGTTGTAAAACCGTCAACATTATTTCTAAACAATTGTTGTAAAACCGTCAACATTATTTCTAAACAATAGTTGTAAAACCGTCAACATTATTTCTAAGAACTGAATTTCTAAATCATTATGTACAGTGTAAATAGTATTGGGGATAAATTATCTTCTTGTCGAGCACCATTTTTAAAAAAACATACTGAGAGTGTTGGCCATTGTGTTCTACACAGGATTTAACACCTTGGTACATCGATTTAATTACATTAAATATATTACCATTGATACTGTAGTTAAGGATTTTCTTCCAGGGAATTGGTCTGCTTACATTATCGAATGCCTTACTAAAATCTATGAAGGCGCAAAATAGTTTACGCTTGCTTGCTTGTGCAGTATATCCGAAAGAGAATGAAGTGTATATATATGATCAATATTCGAAACATCCTTCCTGAAACCAGCTTGATTATCCAGCAGTACCTTCGTGTTTTCTACAAAAGTGGTTAGTCTATTGTTGATAATTGACGTAAACAGCTTACTGATAGAGCTTAAGAGCGTTGTTGGACGGTAATTTGATGGATCATCTTGGTCACCTTTATTTTGAAATGCCCACTAGCCACTTATCAGGAAACACACCCGACTGTAGGACAAGATTAAAAAGTTTTTCATACGTGGGGACAAGTATAGATTTTGAAGACTCAATATATTCATTATACACATTATCAGAGCCACAGGCTTTGTCATTTTTAAGATTGTCTATTGCTTTTAATATCTCTTCTTGTGTGATGAGTGTGTTGATTTCTTCGTTGATGACGTCGACAACTTCCCCATCTACAGCTTCGTCAGGGCCGTCGTTAATCTCTTTGAAGTAAGCAAAAAGCTTGTCGAGAGTAATTTGTTCATATTTAGTTTTTTGCGATAAAGAGTTTATGACTTTCCAAAATCCTTTGGCCGTTTTGACTTCATTTTATTTATTTGTGTACGAAAATGTTCATTTGAGGTTTCAACGTTTTTCCGTAATCTTTGGCCGCTTGTAACATGTTGGTTCTATTGGCAGGATTTCTCTGCTGGTTCTATTGGCAGGATTTCTCTGCTGGTTCTACTGGCAGGATTTCTCTGCTGGTTCTATTGGCAAGATTTCTCTGCTGGTTCTATTGGCAGGATTTCTCTGCTGGTTCTACTGGCAAGATTTCTCTGCTGGTTCTACTGGCAAGATTTCTCTGCTGGTTCTATTGGCAAGATTTCTCTGCTGGTTCTATTGGCCAGATTTCTCTGCTGGTTCTATTGGCAGGATTTCTGCTGGTCTCTATTGGTTCTGCTGGTCTCACTGGCAGGATTTCTCTGCTGGTTCTATTGGCAAGATTTCTCTGCTGGTTCTATTGGCAGGATTTCTCTGCTGGTTCTATTGGCAGGATTTCTCTGCTGGTTCTATTGGCAAGATTTCTCTGCTGGTTCTATTGGCAAGATTTCTCTGCTGGTTCTATTGGCAGGATTTCTCTGCTGGTTCTATTGGCAAGATTTCTCTGCTGGTTCTATTGGCAGGATTTCTCTGCTGGTTCTATTGGCAAGATTTCTCTGCTGGTTCTATTGGCAGGATTTCTCTGCTGGTTCAGCAAGATTTTCTCTGCTGGTTCTGCTGGCAGGATTTCTCTGCTGGTTCTATTGGCAGGATTTCTCTGCTGGTTCTATTGGCAGGATTTCTCTGCTGGTTCTATTGGCAAGATTTCTCTGCTGGTTCTATTGGCAAGATTTCTCTGCTGGTTCTATTGGCAAGATTTCTCTGCTGGTTCTATTGGCAAGATTTCTCTGCTGGTTAGGAATTTTCCTTGCTAAATGATATTTCTTTCTAGCCAGCTTGCATTTATATCCAAACCAGACAGATTTTTAATGTAACTCTTGTTTTACTTACCAAATGATTTAACAGCCGAGTCACATAATAATGTATACAATTTGTCGGTTAAGCTATTAATATGAGAAGTGGTACATGCCTCATGAGAAAGACAGGCTGCTTCCTGGTTGAGGGCTGCAATAACCTCCCTGTCAAGGTTAGCGAGGAATGATTGCTCACTGTCAGGCTGTCACCGTCTGGGTCGGTCTGGCTGACTGGGTACCTCGGGAGGTGGGAGGCGGTTAGAGGTGAACCGCATCGACAGGGGGCAGTGTGCATCCGAAAATAGGGGATAAAGTCCTCTACTTGAAAATTGGTTGCAAAGTTTTAGTAGTTCAGAACTGCATATAAAATAGTCCACAACAGCACAGTCTTTCGAGGTAAAATTGCCTTTCTCAGAGTCACTGTCGAGTCGTCCGTTTACAATGAATAAATTATTAGCTGTGCACAGTTTGATAAGTCTGTGTCCAAAATTGTTAGAGATTCTGTCACTGTAAACCCTGGTAAGTGGGATACTGTTCTGTTGTAGTGTAAGCGCTTGATTCATATAAAGGTCCAGTTCTTCGTATATTTCAGTTCCATCGCGTGTATCATATGTCATGTAGTCAGGCATTGTCTTAGTACGAGCATTAAAGTCTCCATAATCAAATTAAATTAGACATTTGTATAGCGCTACATATCCAGAGTCCTGCTCATGTGCGCTTGGTCGAATGCTCGTTTGAAGAGGATGGTTTTGAGACAAGATCGGATTTTCTGACATTTTCAGGTAATCCATTCCAGAGTACATCACCCGCTCTGCTAAATGTTCTGTCCCCGTATGTTGTGGTTCGGACAGATGGAACATCTAAGCTTTGCTGACTAGCTGATCTGAGTGACCTTCCAGGCTTGTGAAGGTTGACTAGTTCCTGGAGATAGAACGGAGCAAGCCCATTAATTCACTTATAAACAAACACAAGAAGTTTGAATACAACTCTTTTACATGGAGCCAGTGTAAGTCCTTCAGGACTGGTGTTATGTGCACATACATATGTATGCGTGTTATGAGCCTGGCAGCTGTGTTTTGAACACGCTGTAACTTGTCCATGTACTTCTGCTGTATTCCACAGAGTAGACTGTTGCAGTATTCTAGGCCTGATGTCACGAATGCATGGGTTAGGCATTTTACGGATGGTGTGTCCATGTACCTGCTTATCTGTCTGATGTTCCTTAGGTGGTAATGTGCAGATTTGCAGATGTTACTGACGTGATTTTCCATTCTTAATGTTGAGTCAAAGATGACACCTTGATTTCGAGCATGGCTTTCTGGTGGAACAAACGTGTCTCCAATTTGAACTCCAGGGACCTTGAACTTTGTTTTTGTCTGTTTGGAGCTGATGATGAGAATCTCAGTTTTGTCATCGTTCAATTTCAGAAAATTACTGTTCATCCAACATTTGATCTCAGCTATGCAATTTGTTATTGCCTGCAGGGTATTCTGTACAGAAGATGCAGTTTGTGGCTTGAATCCTAGATATAGCTGAGTGTCATTAGCATAGAGATGATAGCTGATATTGCGGCTGGGGCTATATCACCAACGGGTATGGTATATACAGTGAACAGGATTGGGCCTAGGACTGAGCCTTGTGGCACTCCAAACCTTAATTCTCTGCTCTCAGACCTTACCCCATCGATGATAACTGATTGCTTGCGTCCTGTGAGATACGATTGAAACCATGATAACGCATCGCCAGTGACTCCAAGACGTAACTGTAGAGTTTCCAAGAGAGTGGACTGGTCTGTTGTGTCAAATGCTGCTGATAGATCCAAGTGGACAAGAGTTGCCGCTCCCTTGGAATCAACAGCATGCAGAAGGTCATTCAGTTGGTTTGCTACAACACGCTCTATCAATTTGGAAATGAATGGCATTTGAATGGATTTGAAACTTGACGATAGTTCTTAAAGAAATCTGGTTCCAATGTTGGCTTCTTTAAAAGAGGTGTTATTAGTGCTTCCTTCAGTGACGATGATACCTGGCACTGACTTAGTGACTGGTTCACTATGAATGTAATGGTTGGTATGGCGGCCTGTGGGCTGTCTTTAATAAGCCATATTGGACAAGGATCGAGAGAACACGTTTTAGTTGCACTTTTTGCAATTATAATACTGATCTCTTTCTCAGTGGTTGGTGCAAAGCATGTCAAGTGAGTTTGTACAGATATGACTGTCCAGAATTTCAACGTGTGGGGATAGCGTTTCTTTAACATAAAGTGCTAAACCTCCGGATTTACTTAGGTTCTTCTGCACTCTTCTATTATTCATAAACACATTATATTCAGGGATATCTATCTTATCGTAATCATCCAGCTTGGTTTCCTGTAGTCCAATAAAGTCATATTGTGAGACATAATTAATAAAGTCCGGGCAGAAGAGTTTCGTTCTAAGACCACATTACATTTAATGATAAGAAGGAGAAATCTCTCTTTGTTTTCTTTTTGTTTTTTAATTCTACAGGCGATGGATGCATTGTAGGCTTAGGATATTTATCACACCCCTAGTCCATCGGAGACATGTTGTTTGTTGGTGTAGCTGGCTGTTTCCTGTGTGCAGTGGACTCGTAGTGAGCTTGTGAATGTCCATGGCTTGCATGCGCAGGCCATGGGGATTTCGTTCGACGCTGATAGGCTGAGATCTGAGGGAAGTGCTTCTCATTGGTTTGGGTGTGACGATGAGCGTTTTTTGATTGGATAATTGGAGTTCGTACCGTTCATCAACGGGCCGTGACGTAGGAGGGTAGATGCGTTTACCTTCTATAAATAGCCTGTCACCAAGAGGTGGTCATTTCAGTTTCATCATGATGTCTATATGTGTGAACAGACAATGATGTCTGTTCTTCCTTTTTGATATCAAAACCTCCCTCCCGTCTTCAAGTCCAAACTTAAAACCCTTCTCTTCTCCAAGTACTATCCTTGATACCTGCGCTTTGAGCAACCGCAACGGATGGAAAATAGCGCAATATAAATGCACTTCTTCTTCTTCTTGTTATTATGTTTTACAGGTTAAAGATAGTATGCAGCAGAGAGGGTTCGGGTGATCCTGGCGGTGTCCTCCCATTACGCAGACAGCCAGTTCGCAGACACCTTAAAACAACAACATTTACGGTTCAGTGAACAGATTATCTGCTACCTGTTACCTACACATTATAATGGAATAGTCCAAATAAAACACAGGAAGAAACTGAAGCTATATTATTTATTTTGAAAGATGGACGAAAAGACAGTAATTTGAAATTTTTTGCTGCAATATAAAAACAGTATATTTTCATAAAACATTTCGGTTTAACCTTCTAGTCTAACGGGAGTCGGCATCATCATATTGAAAACATTAGCTTAGCTATTAGAAATTGCGACACTGTTGTATCATATAAATCAAATAAAGACAAATGTCTGTTCAGTGTCTGTCAATTGGGTGTCTGCCAATTGGGAGATAACCATCTTGGCACAGTCAGGCTGGTAAGGCTCATCATCAGCTCAGGGCCCTCGCCCCCTCTACACGCAGCCCAGACAGCGAATGGTACTTCTCCCAGGAAACACTGCCTAGTATAACCCACCAAGAACTTTCCGGAGAATATGAAGGCTCCCCAACACTGCAGCCTTCTGCATTACCCAGAGTGTCAGAAGGGCTGTTCTCCCGGTGGAGAACCCGTAGTATTATTATTATTATTATGTCAGTGTTTTGTTTTAGGTTTCCAGGTGTGAACAGACAATGCTGTCAGTGCTATGTTTCAAGTTTCCAGGTGTGAACAGACAATGATGCTAGAGATTTCTTTCAAGATTCCAGGTGTGAGCAGACAATGATGTCAGTATTTTGTTCCAAGTTTCCAGGTATGAACAGACAAAGATGTCAGTGATATGTTTCAGGGATGGTGCCTCTGTGGATGTTCACCCTGGGCAAGCAGTTCCACGACGACAAGATGCAGATCAACATCCCCTACCTGAACATCCTGCAGACTCTGGCCTCTGTCATCCTCCCTCTGCTGGTCGGGATCTTCATCAAGTACAAATTCCACAAGGTTGCCGCCATGATCCTGAAGGTCATCAAACCAGTGACCCTCGTCACGGTGGCCCTGCTGCTGGGGGTCGGTATTTACGCCAATATCTACATCTTCAGACTGTTTAGACCTGTCACACTCCTAGCCGGCTGTATGTTGCCCTATGTAGGCTACGTCATTGGCGGCATCGTCGCCTTAATCTTCCGCCAACCGTGGTACAGAGTCAAAACAATAGCCATAGAGACTGGCGTACAGAATGTCATGGTCGCCTACCTCATGGTACTGATGGCCCTTCCGCCACCAGATGGCGATCTTGCCGCTGTTGGACCAGCAGCTTCCGGTTGTATGACGCCACTTCCGCTTTTCGTGCTCTCGATTGGCTACACCATTTATCTGAAATGTACCAACCAGAGTTACGCCAAGGTGCAAGGAGGCGACACGGAGGTCGACGCTAACGGGAACACTGGGACAGACGGAAAGAAACTGACCGAGAAAGGCGAGGAGAATGGGGTGAAGGCCGACAGACTGACGACAGGGAATAGCCAGGTTGTTGACAAACTGAGCACTGTGTGAAGAAGGTAGAGCTGGTTCAGGTGCATTGTTTTGGCAAGTGTTGAGAACCATGTCACAGGACACAAGACACCTTCTTGTGTTGGACACAAACTATGCCCATATGTGACATGTATATAATTATGTACTGAAAATGTGTGGAAACATTTGGATAGATATTGGACGACAATCAGAATTATTTACTATTACCATGTGGGTGGCATGAACAAAACTGGTATCGTTCACTGGGCCTCAAGACAGTTTACTTTGTAAACCCTACTTTATGTAACCGTCTCTTTTCAGGGTGAAATATGTACAGAACTTTACCCACAGTACCAACTACGCATAAGTAGATCACCAATCGTCCCTGTAAACCTGCTAACATGTAATACAAATCTCACACAAGGATCCTTGGTGGTAGTTCCACTATGAGTAACACAGGGATTCTTGGTGGTAGTTCCACTACGAGTTACACTGGGATCCTTGGTGGTAGCTCCACTACGAGTTACACAGGGATCCTTGGTGGTAGCTCCACCACGAGTTACACAGGAGTTCGTGGTGGTAGTTCCACTATGAGTTACACAGGGATCCTTGGTGGTAGCTCCACTACGAGTTACACAGGGATCCTTGGTGGTAGCTCCACTACGAGTTACACAGGGATACTTGGTGGTAGCTCCACTACGAGTTACACAGGGATACTTGGTGGTAGCTCCACTACGAGTTACACAGGGATACTTGGTGGTAGCTCCACTACCAGTAACACAGGGATACTTGGTGGTAGCTCCACTACGAGTTACACAGGGATACTTGGTGGTAGTTCAGCCATGGTGTGAGAGTCATGATATTATTTTTCACTAAGATGCTGGTGTTAGGTCACATTCTTCTAACACTGAAAAACATGTATTTCATTATTATATACAAGCTGTTGTTGACAAATACATTGACGATTTTCCATCCACTTCAGTGACTTTTCCAAAGTTTTGCTGACACATGAATCCACTCTGTGAAGTTTGTGTTGCAGGTAAGCAAAACGTAAATCAAATAAAGTGAAATTAAGATTGCGAATCCTCATAATTTGACCATGCCAATGAACATTTAAATCTCAGAAGTATATATAACTTAGGATAAAAGTTGTTTAACAAACGATCATAGTTTCAAGTCGCCATTATTGGTTTGTATTACAAGGGGGTAAGCGCAGTAGTTGGAATAGTAAAACAAATACACATGCGGTTCGTGATGAGCGTTAACTTAGACCAAACCTACATGTTCTCGGTGTTTCATTTAATGTGCATACCCCCTTGTAATACAAACCAATCAGAGCGATTTGCAACTATGATCGTTTGTTAAACAACTTTTATCCTAAGTTGAATAAACTTCTGAGATTTAAATGTTCAGTTGGCAAGGTCAAATTATGAGGATTCGCAATCTTAATTTCACTTTATTCGATTTACTTTTTTGTTTAAAGTGAAATTCATCGGTACGTTTTCACTGCAAACAAACTATAGTACCGTATCTGTCTGCAAGCATCCGTGCATGTTCATCATCTGTGTTTTAATCAGTTTAAATCCCGTCTGAATATAGAAAGCCAAAATGCACTTAACACGTTAACATCTTTATTGTATCATGCAGTGTAAGAGCATTTTAACATAAATCTATTGGTGTGTCATGTACATCTAAAAGAAACACCCAGTTTGTGTTCCTTGCTGGATGATCTTGTTTAACAATGGTAACAAGAAGTTGCCTAGACTGTCAGTTGTGCCATGTAACAGTTGATGGAAATACGATACATAATATATGATATCATGAAGTACAATTGTTATAGAATTGTAGATATTTGGCTCCACATTGCTCTGCAGTGACATCAGACCGATGCAAATACACAGACACATATTAATCGTGCATGTTCTACGTGCTGATAACTATATCCAACCTAACATTTGACAAGGGAAATAAAGATATTAAAATCTTTGGTTTTTCCTTTAGTGTATATTCCGTGTGTTTTATAGAATAAACTAAATCCTGGAGTACTGTCCCACAGCACGAATACTGGTTAACTCAGAGCCATTCATGTGATACGAGGGAATCTCCACAAGGGACATGCATGAGATACGAGGGAATCTCCACAAGGGACATGCATGAGATACGAGGGAATCTTCACAAGGGACATGCATGAGATACGAGGGAATCTCCACAAGGGACATGCATGAGATACGAGGGAATATTCTCCAGGGACATGCATGAGATACAAGGGAATCTTCACAAGGGACATGCATGAGATACGAGGGAATCTCCACAAGGGACATGCATGAGATACGAGGGAATATTCTCAAGGGGCATGCATGAGATATGAGGGAATCTCCACAAGGGACATGCATGAGATACGAGGGAATCTCCACAAGGGACATGCATGAGATATGAGGGAATCTTCACAAGGGGCATGCATGAGATACGAGGGAATCTCCACAAAGGACATGCATGAGATACAAGGGAATCTCCACAAGGGACATGCATGAGATACGAGGGAATCTCCATAAGGGACATGCATGAGATACGAGGGAATCTTCACCAGGGACATGCATGAGATACGACGGAATCTCCACAAGGGACATGCATGAGATACGAGGGAATATTCTCAAGGGACATGCATGAGATACAAGGGAATCTTCACAAGGGACATGCATGAGATACGAGGGAATATTCTCCAGGGACATGCATGAGATACGAGGGAATCTTCACAAGGGACATGCATGTGATACGAGGGAATCTCCACAAGGGACATGCATGAGATATGAGGGAATCTTCTAAAGGGGCATGCATGTGATACGAGGGAATATTCTCAAGGGGCATGCATGAGATATGAGGGAATCTCCACAAGGGACATGCATGAGATACAAGGGAATCTTCTCAAGGGACATGCATGTGATACGAGGGGAATATTCTCAAGGGGCATGCATGAGATATGAGGGAATCTCCACAAAGGGACATGCATGAGATATGAGGGAATCTTCACAAGGGACATGCATGAGATACGAGGGAATCTCCACAAGGGACATGCATGAGATACGAGGGAATCTTCACAAGCGACATGCATGAGATATGAGGGAATCTATACAAGGGACATGCATGAGATACGAGGGAATGTCGACTGTGGACATGCATGAGATACGAGGGAATCTCCACAAGGGACATGCATGAGATACGAGGGAATCTCCACAAGGGACATGCATGAGATACGAGGGAATCTCCACAAGGGGCATGCATGAGATACGAGGGAATCTCCACAAAGGGACATGCATGAGATACAAGGGAATCTCCACAAGGGACATGCATGAGATATGAGGGAATATTCTCAAGGGGCATGCATGTGATACGAGGGAATCTCCACAAGGGACATGCATGAGATACGAGGGAATCTCCACAAGGGACATGCATGAGATACGAGGGAATCTCCACAAGGGACATGCATGTGATACGAGGGAATCTCCACAAGGGGCATGCATGAGATATGAGGGAATCTCCACAAGGGGCATGCATGAGATACGAGGGAATCTCCACAAGGGACATGCATGAGATATGAGGGAATGTCCACAAGGGACATGCATGAGATATGAGGGAATCTCCACAAGGGACATGCATGTGATACGAGGGAATCTTCTCAAGGGGCATGCATGAGATACGAGGGAATCTCCACAAGGGGCATGCATGAGATATGAGGGAATCTCCACAAGGGACATGCATGAGATACAAGGGAATCTTCTCAAGGGGCATGCATGAGATACGATGGAATCTTCACAGGACACATGCATGAGATACGAGGGAATCTCCACAAGGGACATGCATGTGATACGAGGGAATCTCCACAAGGGACATGCATGAGATACGAGGGAATCTCCACAAGGGACATGCATGAGATACGAGGGAATCTCCACAAGGGACATGCATGAGATATGAGGGAATCTTCTCAAGGGGCATGCATGTGATACGAGGGAATCTCCACAAGGGACATGCATGAGATACGAGGGAATCTTCTCAAGGGGCATGCATGAGATACGATGGAATCTCCACAAGGGACATGCATGAGATATGAGGGAATCTCCACTGTGGACATGCATGAGAGACGAGGGAATCTTCACAAGGGACATGCATGAGATACGAGGGAATATTCTCAAGGGACATGCATGAGATACGAGGGAATCTTCACAAGGGACATGCATGTGATACGAGGGAATCTCCACAAGGGACATGCATGAGATACGAGGGAATCTTCTAAAGGGGCATGCATGTGATACGAGGGAATCTCCACAAGGGACATGCATGTGATACGAGGGAATCTCCACAAGGGACATGCATGAGATACGAGGGAATCTTCTCAAGGGACATGCATGAGATACAAGGGAATATTCTCAAGGGGCATGCATGAGATATGAGGGAATCTCCACAAGGGACATACATGAGATACAAGGGAATCTTCTCAAGGGGCATGCATGTGATACGAGGGAATCTCCACAAGGGACATGCATGAGATACGAGGGAATCTTCTCAAGGGACATGCATGTGATACGAGGGAATCTCCACAAAGGACATGCATGAGTTACGAGGGAATATTCTCAAGGGGCATGCATGTGATACGAGGGAATCTCCACAAGGGACATGCATGTGATGCGAGGGAATCTCCACAAGGGACATGCATGAGATATGAGGGAATATCCACTGTGGACATGCATGAGATATGAGGGAATCTATACAAGGGACATGCATGTGATACGAGGGAATCTCTACAAGGGACATGCATGAGATATGAGGGAATCTCCACAAGGGACATGCATGAGATATGAGGGAATGTCGACTGTGGACATGCATGAGATACGAGGGAATCTATACAAGGGACATGCATGAGATATGAGGGAATCTCCACAAGGGACATACATGTGATACGAGGGAATCCCTACAAGGGACATGCATGAGATATGAGGGAATCTCCACAAGGGACATGCATGAGATATCAGGGAATCTCCACAAGGGACATGCATGAGATATGAGGGAATCTTCTCAAGGGGCATGCATGAGATATGAGGTAATCTATACAAGGGACATGCATGAGATATTAGGGAATCTCCACAAGGGACATGCATGTGATACGAGGGACTCTATACAAGGGACATGCATGAGATATGAGGGAATCTTCTCAAAGGGACATGCATGAGTTTTGAGGGAATCTCTACAAGGGACATGCATGAGATATGAGGGAATCTATACAAGGGACATGCATGAGATATGAGGGAATCTCCAAAAGGGACATGCATGTGATACGAGGGAATCCCTACAAGGGACATGCATGAGATATGAGGGAATCTCCACAAGGGACATGCATGAGATATGAAGGAATCTCCACAAGGGACATGCATGAGATATGAGGGAATCTTCTCAAGGGGCATGCATGAGATATGAGGTAATCTATACAAGGGACATGCATGAGATATGAGGGAATCTCCACAAGGGACATGCATGTGATACGATGGAATCTATACAAGGGACATGC